ATGGCGTCGATATTCTTCCGTTGCCTTTCTCATTTCTCACTCTATTGTCACATTTGCCATTGTCATTTCCGTTTGATAAACGCTCTTTTGAATCGCTCTGTTTGCAGGACAGATAGTGGAATCGACATTAAAATGATAACGAGTGATGCTGTGACTAACGACAAACAATCAGAGACTAGCAGCAGTGATTGTCGTGATAAGGCGGACGAAAGATGCAAATCGGCTGTGGTGACAACCTTATCAGATGAAGAATTTCAACGTCTACAAGAGCAGTTGCTTGAATTGAAGAATCGAAACTACGAGCTGATTGAGGAAAATAAACGACAGCAAAACTATATCAATGCACTTCCATCAAGGACAACAACTATCGATTCGTTGAATTTTGCTACGAAGGTTCCATTTTCGATTGGTTCATTAAGTTTTTCAGTCCACTGTGGGTGATTTTACACTCTCTTAGCGTTCGTTGCCGTACACATTCTTCAAGCGTATTCATATATTTTCACGGTTCTTTTCAATTCTCATGCTAGACCAATGATTTTAGCCAATGATCATTGAAAAGCTATCAGAGAGCCCGGAAGTTATGTTCTCTGAAGATTTATCATAAAATGAAATGCTTATTGAGCGATTGACTTATCCAAGGTTTTCAAGGGTTTGCAATTGATCGGCCGAAGAAAGGACAGAGAAGGTGTGAACGAGAAATTAGAACATGAAATACTGATACTCAGAAGCAAGCTTTCCTCTCAGGAAGAGGAATTCCGCCTACAACAATCCACTCTTCTTTCTGAACTCAACAAGGTCTCATTTCGAGTTNTAACTTTTTAAAGTTTATTTTAGGAGTTTAACCACATGCTGTTTGAAATTAATCGTATGTGTGTGCTTATTGATGCGGAAACGAAAGGCATCATTGATTTTATTATTGGTTTGATTGGTGCTTTTGATTGATGTATTACAGGTAATTTCGCAATGTGAATCCTTAGAAAATGAGTTGAAGCAAAAGAATGCAAATTCTAACGAACCTAAAGGAACACTGCCTTCTAATGCAGGTAACCGGTCTGCGATCGGTATTTCATGCCAATTTTGGTTTTGTTAATCATATTTGAGGCACGATGCACGATTGAGATGAATGTAAAAAATGTGAAATTTTGAGGTAACATTCAGAAAATCTGATGGAGATCTTTTGGTTTTCACTCCCGCAAAATTTTTTATTCACTTCCGTTCAAACTCGTTCATTTGATGCAGTGTATTTTAGAACTCTCCCAACCAACCACGAACAGTGACAATGCGAAAGCTCAAGCTGATAAAATTGTTGCTCTACAAGGTGAAATTACTCACTTCAAAGGTGTGAATATTTTTCAGTTTTTGCGTTTGCATTTTTATCTCATTCAGTTTGTGTGGATTGTTTTTGTGATTGTTTTCAACTCGTACATGTAGTTGATGTTGTACTCTCTTCTAGTCTTATGAAGATTTATTTTGACATTCGGCTGAAGGCAATATCTTATTCAGAGGTAAATTTTGCAGCTGTGCTGGCAGAGAAGGATGCTCTCTGTGCAGATATTGAAGCATTGAGAAAAGACTTGATGGCGTCTAGAAAAGATTGCGAACAGCAGCTCGCAGAATCGAAGAAACAGTTAAAAATTTTGACTATTCTCAAATTGTTCAATGCAGAATTGTTAAATTTAAACGGAGCGTTGATTTTGCTGTGAATGTATTGGAGCGCCTAAAGGTTTCATGAAATATTATCATTAAACTCATCATGTCTAGCCGTGATCCTACTTGATGTTACAGTTGATGGTTGGTTATTATCTGATGGCGGGAGATGATTTTAACCTTATAGAATGTAAGACGATTTGAAATTGTTCAGATCGTTCTGGACGGCAGCACAACTCAGTTTGAATCATTGAAAGTTCAGATTGTTTGAAGCCATGCAAAGATTGGAGGACGCACAGCGATGTAATGCTGATCTGGAAGTTTCTTTGAAAACGAAGAACGATGAAATTATTCGTCTTAGCAGTTCACTTCAAGAGGCTGAAAAAAATGTGGAACTGGAAGAGAAGAATACAGAAACGATCTGCTCATTGACGGAGGCGGTCGATAAACTGAATAAAGAGTGTGATGAACTCAGAAAGGTTGGCTGAAGAATATTCATTGAATGTGTTTTGTAATTTAAGAAAAGAGAATTTTGAAGTCGTATTCTTTGCTCAAACCACTCCTATACTCACTTGTGTTCAGATGATGTTCGCTTAATCTTATTTTATCAATTCTTATAGACTCATAAAGAAGATGTCGATGCTAAAGATGAACTGTCGAACGAAGTGGCAGCGCTGAAAGCAAGTCTGCATCATTCAGAAGTTACATGGAAGAAGAGCCTTGATAACCTGAAATCTGAGGTGAGCAAATCTGAGCGTAACGATTATAGTTGTCTTATCTTTTGTTACTTCCACAAATACGGATAAAAGTTTCATTTTGCAACGAAAAATGATTCATTTTAGCGTGATGATCTGAGATCTGAAAATGAAAAATTGCTAAAGATGAAAGCAGAAATCGAATCGAAAACGTTGGAGTTCGAAAGAACGTTTTCTCAAAACAAACTTCTCATCAAGGAAACGGAAAATCTGAAGATGGATTTTGAGAATATTAGCAAAGCAAATGAAAATCTTACCGAAGAAATCGCTCAACTTCGGAATACTCTCCAAACAGTGAAAGTAATTTTGATTTATGTTGTTTCCGTTCGTATTCAGATTTTTATTATTTGTTTAATGAATAGATTA